CAATAGGCAGTGTTAATTCTATATATAGAAGACATCATAATGTAAAATCATTTCAATTGAACATGTTTCCATATGTAAAAGACACTTGATATCATATCTAGATATTATGTATCAATAAAGATTCACATCGATACATGTTCACCTTAAAAAAAAAAAATAAAAATAAAAGTGCTTTGTCCTTTATTGTATTTCGAATCATTGCAAACAAATTGTCAAATGTTTCATAGCCATAATCATTACATGTTTAACAAAATCCTCCAAGATCATCATGATATCGAAGTTGTGTTGTATTAGCCAAGTGCGTTATAAAAGAAGTTTTTCGTATTTCATCAAAATATGTGTTTTCAAATTTAGTCCACAATACATTTTTTTGATCTTGCAAATATACAATTGGTAAGTCACTTTTTGGATCTGTTTGATATGAACTTTGGCTCACGTTATTTTGATCTTGAAAAAAATCAATAAATTGTTTTTCTTTAATTTCAGATATTCGACATATTGTTCTTTTGGATAAATCAATTGGAAGTGTTCCAAGTCCATATAATCGTACATGTTTTCATGCAAAATTAATAATATTTGGACTGATCTATATAAAAAAAGATTAGTTTTTGAATTTATTTAAAACAATTATTTTATTTAAATATTGGAAAATTGTGTTTTAATGTTGAGTATGAAAAATTCTCTGCAATTATAGATAATATTCAGATCCTGTCTTTTGAACCTCATTTATTTAAACTTCATGCTGTACGAAAATTATTCTAGAAAGTTTCTTCATTGCCTATATCAATTGAAATTGATTGTTTTTGACCAAGATCTAGTAAGCCATCCATATATAATTGTTTTATATTTGCTATATTTGTTTTCGAATTGTTTGATTTACTCCAAAATTCAATTTCTGATTCTTTTTTTAAAAATAGTATTATATTTGTAAAGCCATATGCTTTTAATATTGAACACCAAGTATTTTTTTCTTTGTCGGATATAATACAAGTAGGAGAATAGATTTTTTTCATTACTTGTTTGAATTGAATTATTGAACTGACTAATGTTTTCCAATTTAAAAAAAAAGCTTGTCATTGGAGAATATTGCTTTGTAAAATCTTTCTTGGACAAATATGTTGATTAAAAACATGTTCCAGAATAAGTAAATTAGACCAATTGTCACAAGTGCAGGTAATATTAGAAACAATTGTTGTCTGTATTGCTTGTTGAATCATTGAATTTTCTAATCCAAATAAAACATTGCTATTATAATTTTTTAGAATTCCTATTTGTTTCTATTGTCATATATCTTCCTACCTCAGGAGAAAGATATGGACGGAGAACTAATAGCAGGGAGACACTTTGTATGGAT